TAATTGGACGATAAGGATTATTGATTCGAGCCTTTCCTTCGACTGTCATGTCGTTAAGACTGTCTCTTCTTGCATGTCCAGCTTGGCGCAGATTAACCGTGTAAAACATGTTTTAGATAAAAGTTTGCTTGTCTTGGTAATTCGAAGTTTATTTTTCAGTAAAATGTATTATTGCTCGTCGGTATGGGCTAACACCACTGCAAATAACATCCGCAGACTTCAAGCAAACACCCGACTTGGGTATCAATTTCCCGTTTGTAATCTAAAATGACTGAAAATTGCAAACTTCGCAGGGCTATAGCCTATTATCCGCATTTTACAACATTTCGCAACGAAACTTTGGAATATTACTAATTTTGTGATGCTCTTTCAAGCTGTGATGAAATTTTTGTCTAGATCAAAATTTTAGTTATAAGGTTAAAGCTCCATTTGAAAGGTCTATTTTTGGCAAATGTCCTTAACTCAACCTCAGACTGTACTCCAATCGAGCAGCTTGTCATCTTCAGATGAAACAGTACAAAGAATGTATTCAGGATTGCAGCAGTGTAAGTATTGAAAAAAATTATTATGTAGGGAAAGTTTTGACTCGGTCTCAGACCACGTTCGTACTCCCAAGTATCCAGATTCATCCAGTTCCATTTGGACCACACGGGATATGGTGGGCGTGAAATCGAAAGGCGAATGCTGAACGTGTTACCATATATTGACAGCGATGTTTCGGGGTTCTATTTCTGTAGTATCCAGTTGTCTGATTACAATAGTTCCTCACTCGCATGCATTGAACTATAAATAAACTGGAAGGCTAACTGCTATGCCTATGATGAAGGCCTATGATTTGATGAAGCCAAAATAGTTTTTCTGAGTTATGAGCAGAAATACTTGACCCCAAACGTCGGGCTATATATCAAATTGAAGCTATTGAAAATTGCTATTCGGTGTGGAAATTTCAAGACTTCAGCGAAAAGAAAAATATTTAAAAAATACAAAAACAACTGCAAAACGGCAAATTATCGGTAATTATGTTTGTAGTTTTTCAATATTTCCCTTTTAGCTAAAGTCTTGAAATTTCTACACCAAATAGCGTTTTTCAATAGCTTCAATTTGATATATAGCCCAACGTTCAGTGTTGAGTATTTCTGCTCATAACTCAGAAAAACTAAAATGCACTGGCTTCAATTTTCCCCCCTGAGTTAGCCTTCCAGTTTATTTATAGTTCAATGCTCCCATGTGAGAACAGAGGCACCAAAGGTTTTCTCTGGGTATTCCGGTTTTCTGTTGGGATTACTGGACCTGTATGGGATGGCTCTTACTAGACCTTTAGAAAGAAAAGTTTAGAACTGATAAAGTTATAAGAGTTGACTGGATATTCCCGCGAGCTTAGCGAAAAACTCTCCTCAACTCTCGTCAAAATTTGAACCTGCTGAAACTTGATGAAAGTTGACGATAGTCGATGAGAAACTCTCATCCTCGTTTGAGCAGGAGTTTACAGAACTGATTAAGACTGATAAAGCTATCCTTGCTATCCAGTATAAAGTTGGTTAAACTATTTCCAGGCCCTTGAACTGCTTACGCCACCAGTGCAAGCCAATGCTCTGTCAAGATGTAAGGCACTGGTAAGAAGAGGAACGGCGCAGGCGCAGTTGGAAAATTATGTTGAAGGTAAAATTTGAAAGCGTTTACCGTTGATTGGGCGGCTATGGTGGGTTTTATCTGACTCGTCCCCAGTCGCTTACCTAACGCGCGTTGAATTACCCAACGCGCGCTGATTGATGGGAATGTGACGGTCCTTTGCGTTAGAAGCAGTGTTAGGGACTGTGGAAGAGTCAGGGGTTTTATTATGTTTCTTGGCTCCCTATGGACCTTTAACCTTATAACTAAAATTTTGATCTAGACAAGTCTGGACAGAAATTTCATCACAGCTTGAAAGAGCATCACAAAATTAGTAATATTCCGAAGTTTCGTTACGAAATGTTGTAAAATGCGGATAATATAGCCCTGCGAAGTTTGCAATTTTCAGTCATTTTAGATTACAAACGGGAAATTGATACCCAAATCGGCTGTGATGAAATTTTTGCGTAGATCAAAATTTTAGTTATAAGGTTAAAGGTCCAATACTATTGTTCTGATAATGTGAGCACAGAATGGAACAAAGATGACCGAGCATTTAAATTATATATGTGAGTTAATTGGTTGTGATAACTCCATAGAAATAATAACTCGCATGCACAGTTACCACTGTTCTGAAAATATAAGCATAGAATGGAACAAAGATAACCAATATATATAAATTATATATGTGAGTGAATTGGGTAGGATGACTCACATGCCTAGTTATTACCACTCTTCTGATAATGTAAGCATAGAATGGAACAAAGGTTTAAACAAAGTATTTAAATTATATATATGAGTGAATTGGTTGGGATAACTCGCAAGTATTTCAATCTGATTATGCGAGTGAATATCAACACGCGTTAATCGATTGGGTCTATGAGCTAGAAAAAGAGGGGGAAATAATTTCTATATACTAAACAGTGTTTTGTTTTAACCAATTCCAGCTCTCATTGATTACGAAGCTGCCATTAAACTCGATCCAACAAATACAAAATTACAAGAAGATGCGGATAAACTACGGAAGATTATTCAAGGAAGCTAAAGAACGCATATCACGCATGTATCTACGTTTTACTCGTGGCTGTATCGTGCATTGAAGTGAATGAAGATATGGTTTTGCAGTCATATTATTTTGGCAGGTTTTGGTAAGCTGTTGTGGGAGAGATGGTCAACTATAGATCAGTGTCAACTACAGAGATTTGGACATTTACTAGAACCCTTCTGCCGTTCTGGAAAGTATGTCACTTTGGCTACAGAGCCTCTACACAGAATAGGACCCGTACCGAAGGCCAACTTCTTGGTTTTCCAATGATTTTGGCGTAACCATTGCAATGCTGTCGCCGTGGTCCTAGCTAGTGCGCTTATGAGAGGTATTCACCCTCCTGAAATTATTCAAAATGACAGACGTTCAGGGGGGTGAATGACTCTCATAACCGCACTGGCTAGGAACACGAGTCGATTGTCTGTTTGTCTCTATTCTGTGGTAACACTAATAAGTAATATATAACCTACTTTTATTTATATTTACAATATTTATATATAAAATATGTATATCAAAGTTTGTAAACAAGTTATATAAGAATAAATAATATTTGTATCTGCGCCTGTTCATCGTTCGATGCAAGGGACGGTATCAGCAAAGTCAATTTCCCCCTACCCCTCCCTCCCTAATTTGGAATAAAGCCGTTTGGATTGTCATGTGACGGCATACGAAATCAACCAATCGGAGCTCGAAGAGGGGAATTCAAAAAGCCTCGTGAGATGCGAATGAACACAAATTCACAAAGCCAAACTCGAAGTGCGGAAAAGAAATCGAAAATTCTGTAGTTCTTAATACGCTGTAAAGGACGATCTTTGATTTATCGTGTAGGAGGCGCTTCTTGCTATCTTACGAAACAAATTTTGAAGTTGTAACTGTACAAAAAATGGCTCAACGAAGATTCGGAAATGTAAGTTGTCGAAATCAATTATCGAACACATTTTGTTGTTGTGTGTTTTAGGTCTTCTAGCTGTGATCTGAAAGAAATCTAATGCTTTATACTGGTTCGTTGTAGGTTCTTTCGACTATTTCTGAAGGAAATAACCGAGAAAATATCGCAACTCGGGGCAAAGTGGCCGCCCAACGCGTGACAAGATCGACGCTTGGTGATATTGGCAACAACGTTGGAACGTCGATACATGACGGAAAGGTCTGTTTCTATTCAACTATTTCGCTAAATTCACCCACGAAAAGTTGCCTTACACTATTCCATATTAAAATTTGCCTTCCATAGGTCGTCACACGCGCTCAAAAGGAGTTGAATATTCAGACACGTCGGCCTCTACACAAATCGAAAGCAACCTCTTCGCTGTTGCCGAAAGCGGAGTCAAAAAATGTCGAACAAAAAGAAAGAGCTCGCATCACGGATGCCATGGACATGGATAGCGTACAAGATGTTGTTGAACAGGTCTCGGAAGCCATGAAACATTGTGAAATCACAAATATTGATGCTGATGATTTTGAAAACCCCCAGTTGTGTGCCGAATATGCGAATGAAATCTATCGCTATTTAATGAAATACGAGGTATTTAATTTTGAAATGCAATAATTGAAGTCTGCGACTCTGCGTTGCAAACGAAAATAAGGCTCTGCTTGCAGGGTAGCTTAGGTGCTGTTTGAAGGTCTGTTCCTATCGAGCCAGACTGGCCCGGTTAACCGAGAAAATTCGTCTAATAAAGGTCTTATCACAGCTATAGGCTTTGATAAACATTCAAAATGCCATTTCAAAGCTGAATTAATCAGGGTGTTTATATGGGAGCAAGCCAGCCAGGTACCCAAGCTAGTTTGCTTTGCCGAGAAAATTTCATCTCATATTTACATTCAGAGACTTTTGGGGTGGGCTGGCTCGCCAAAACAAACTGCGGAAATTTTACACTTTACTGTACCGGAGATGTGACATGATTCATCCCAGCTAGCTAGCCGAGCCAGCCCAGTTGATATGAATGAAAGCCCCTAAATGAAAGCCAGGCTGACCGACCAACTAGCCCACTATAGAATTTTTTCCTCCTGTGTGCCTATGCATTCAGTGCTTACACTTAGCCAGTACCCCCGAAAATGGTGAATAATCAACATTGATCATATTGACAGAATGACGGATGTGGACTGGAGTAGTCCAGTTGAACATAGAGGTCATTCCCTTTCTTATCTGTTGTAAATTTTCTCTCTTGATAGAAAGATTTTTGCATCTGCGACTACTTGAAAGATCAAAAGGAAATCAATGAAAGAATGCGTTCGATCCTTGTCGATTGGCTTGTACAAGTTCACGAGAAGTTCCGCTTACTCCAAGAGACCCTGTACATGACCGTGGCCTTTGTGGACAGATACTTAGCTGTAAGTAATATTGTATTACTAACCCTGAACAATACATATTATAATGGTTCTTGCCAATGGTATTCTTCACATTCCAGAAGACCCTGACATCCTAATAGGGTGCTGGGTGAGGTGGCAAATACTGGCATATTTCTAGACTGAGCTGTTTGGTATATTTGGTGCATGAATTTTAACTCGAATTTTAATAACACTCGACAGGGCAGAAAAAAAGAATTTTCTTCCTGGGAGCACAACCTGGAGATTTCAGACCAACAGGGTATTTTTGTGCTAAATCTGCATGTCCATGAACATATAGTGTTCTAGCTGACCATCCGGTTTTAAATTCAACAACCATATGTTGTTGTGCCCATATAGTGGGACATGGGTGTTAAGATTTCCTTCAAATTTCCAATAGCATATCTAACAAATTTCCTGCAACTGTTTAACATTTCCTGCGAGCAGTGCTGACCTATTTTTAAAACCCCTGTGAATCATTGCGAGTATCTGCATAAACCAGATTCTGCTATTAATAGTAGTACTAGATCTACGAGACTTTTTGTATTCCCCGCAATTTTTGATATGCTGAAATCCTCAATACTAATCTACTATTACACATTTTGTGCCCAAAAAGGCGATTTAAACAATGTCTGACTCTGTGCTCGTATGGTAACATATTAATTTTTCTGTTTTCACCAATTTCTGTAGAAAGAATCTGTGCCCAGAAGCGAACTGCAATTAATTGGTGTAACTGCAATGCTCCTGGCTTCAAAGTACGAGGAAATGTATGCTCCCGAGATAGGTGACTTTGTTTTCATCACAGATCAAGCATATGACAAACCTAAAATCCGCAAAACCGAATCAAAAATGCTCGCAGTCCTGGACTACCAACTTGGTGCCCCCTTGTGCCTTCACTTTTTACGAAGACACTCGAAAGCTGCTGTTGTAAGTTTGCACCTAAGTGACCTAACGTTTTATACCAAATGCACTCGGTATTAATTACTGTAACTATTGAGAAAAATTAAATAATATCCTCTAAAATATAATTTCCCCCCATCTAGTCACGTGCTGAAACGCACACAATGGCAAAATATTTCATGGAATTAATGCTAGTTGATTATGCCTCTGTGAAATTTCTACCCTCGTTGAGAGCTGCAGGTGCGCTGTATCTTTCTCTGAAACTACTGGACAAGAAAGAATGGGTAAGTTCATGGAAACTACGTCACTTCGGCTTTATAGAGGCTTTAAGCCCTGGGCAAATTGGGAAACATTGTTTCCTACCAATGTTTCGCCTGATGTTTCCAAAAGTGGGCAAACACTAAAAAACAGTGAGAAACATAGGGAAACATCAAATGTTTCTGAATTAATGGTAGGAAACATTTTTGCTTCCCTGGAAGCAAATTTTGTTTCCGCAACAATGTTTCCACGGGTGGGCAAACATGGAAACATTTGAGGAAACATCGAGAATCACAAATGTTTCCGCAACAATGTAACCTGGTTTGCCCAGGGCTTTAGTGATTGACCGATTGTGCAGCAATCGGAAATTACCGATTATTCATGCCACAATCTACCCGATACCGATGTTATAACGACGTCATAATATCAGTCGATAATTTTTAACGATAATTAATGAATGGCACGCTTCACGCATTAATTCCGTTCCGGAACCGGAACTGATTTATTAAGCCATATATAGTCGCATGTTGCTTTTGTCTGCTGTCAGACAGGCAGACACTTCAATTAGTCGTCAAGGAGAGACGTCATATGAAGTGTTAATAATGTACATTTTCCTTGTGTAGTCGAGATTTCGTCCCACTGTCGGAACTTTTGTTAGACACAAAAACTTTTGATATATTCTAACTCTCTGAAACCGAATTCCGGTGCACCCCTAAATTTAAAACCTAAGTCCTAACCAATTTTATTGTTTCTGCAGGACGCAACATTAGAACACTACAGTACGTACTCAGAACGCACGCTTAAACCTTGCGTGAGACGAATTGCACAGTTGGTTATCAAGGCTAAGAACAAGGATTCAAAACTCACAGCTGTTACGAATAAATACGCCAAACACAAATTCCTGAAAGTTAGCCAATCGCCTTCTCTCACGACGGATCAACTTTTTTACTACGCTGAACAATTGTGGTGATTCTTTTTAATTAATACGGTAACATTCGGGCGAGACACTACAGTCGTGATCATAATTCGAGTGGAGTCTTTTAATAGTTTTGAAGAATATTAGGTTTTCTTAATTTTAACGCGGTGTATATACCGTTCAAATACAGAGACACAAAGTACTGGACATATTATATTTAGTTTTTTATACAGTTCATATGATCCTCATACTGTATATATCCGGCGTATAAGAATGATTTTCAAAGTTTGCTGCAAATTGCAACAAAGCCACAGAATAAGCGGGGTAATGTTGATGCGCGTTTTTGAGAATTCACGAGAAAAAAACCTTTTTACATTGTAAAATGCATAATTGAGTCTGATTTTATTGCAAGTTGCAACTATTTAAGATCTCGCTCAGGCTAGGGGCTAAATCCTGAAATTTAACATTGTTGTTATTTGCGCATTGTATGAATTTTGTGCACAGACGAGGAAAGCATTGAAAACTGTGCAAAAAAATAGATCTATATTAAACAATATATAACCGACTTTTTAAACCCTCTTCTTCATACTTTGCATTGTATACTGTATGCGTAATACTGTATGCGTAATATTTAATTTTTATTGATACCATATGATACAAATGTACATAAGATGACTAGATACTAATTAAATGTTCTTATGCTACTAAAGTGCCACTACTTGTCTCGCAGTTAAAGGCCCGTTTAAGCCTGGTTCACATTAGCCTGCTCGCAGCCTAGCCCTAGGTTCACATATACCTGCAGTATGTCGGCGGGCTATTGTCGTTATAGCAGTTCAACCAAATAATTCACAAAAGAATGTATGCATCGACAGCTGTGAACAACAGGGTTCGTACAAAACTTGAAAGTCCTTGAATGTCCTCGAATTTGAAAACAAAAATTCAAGGCTTTGAATGTCCTTGAATTTGTAAAAAAGTATTTGAATGTCCTTGAATTCTTCGTGCTTTAGTTTTTGGATATTTTCTGAAATTGTTTGACATTCAAGACGGACATTTTGTTGAACTGATTTTGCATGTTCATATCTGACCTCATTATAAAGTTACGTTTTGAACAATTCAACGTCAGATTTTGCTGATTTCTAACTCCTTCAGCATTTAGTCCTTGAATTTGCTAATACACGGCCTTGAATGGCCTTGAATTTAACTCTTCCTGACCTGTACGAACCCTGTAACAATGATAGCGCAGGCATGTGTATAGTGAACCATCTTTGAAAAGTCTTTGAATTGTGTGAAAAAGCGAAGAAAGTCTTTAAATTCTTTAGTGAGGAATTGATTATATGATTTATAATGGTAATAAAATATCATTGATTGAAGCAAAGTTTTCGCAAATATCGACGAAAAGGTGCACGTGCATTTTAGGATGTGATTTGACGGAACTATAATTACCGGGTAAAAATGCTGCTTACACTCGCAATTTTTCGACTGCTGATTGCTCTCAAAGGTCTTTGAAAAGTGTTTGAAAATAGGCAGAAAAAGTCTTTGAAAGTCTTTGAATTTTTTTGGTCTTGGAGACTACGAACCCTGTGCATGTTTTTAAGCATTGGCAGTAAAAGAATGAAACTAAGCCCCGGTCGGACGATAAGAGTTGCAACTCTTGGCGCATCGTGCCTCTTATCAACTCTCATTGTCTTAACTCAGGGTGCTGATGAGTGATAAGAGTTGTCACTATCGCGCGGTAATATGCAGTCCACTCTCGTGCAATTCCTGCTCTCGTTTAACGTATATTACAGTGTAGTTGGCTCAGCTAGTTGCACGATTCTCATTACAGTATCTTTCAATAAATTCTTAAAAGAGTAAATTGACTCGGCTAGATTTGTGATTCACTGGAAAGATTCAAATCTGTCACGTGCTCTGCTGTAATGACATTCGAAAATAACACCTAGTGACAGAATCCAGTTGTTTTATCAGCTGAGTAAACAAATGACAGCACGTGAGAGACGCCGTACACGATATCAGAATCTGTACACGATATCAGAATCTGTACTACTATTGCAATTCATTCATGAAAAATCCCACTGCATTTCTCCCATCCGTGGCACCAGATGAGAGAAAATATAGCCTGCTGGTGAATCGTTTCTCCGCCAATCTGCTCGTTGCTCAATCGCATGAAAAAATCGTGCTTCCATTTTGATCGGTACACTACCAGGCACCGCAGATTTTCAACGCACATTCCGACCCTCTGCCCTCTACTCAGACAAATCAACGATGTTAACCATATGGTCATGATTTGAGGCAGTCTGTGTTTTTTTCCCAGCCTTTTTGTGTCCGGTGTTTGTCAACTCTGACAACACAGATTAGCATAACTGAGCACAATGAAATAACTCCGCCAGATGCAACGTATTAGAGCCACTTTGACTCGCAAATGGTGTAAATTGTTTTCTTACGTCCCCAAAACTAGTTGCCCATACAAATAATTACACATTTAGAGAAAAAACTAAAGCGGATATAATATAAATTCGATTCTACACGGCTGTCGCGGAATTTATGCTAATACCGCTACTATCACTCCCCAGGAGGGGTGGGTGAGTGCGAAAGCATACAAGTAATCGGTGACGTAACAAAGCTCACCGCTTGCAGCTTTTCAAACTCGAACTTTGCTCAGACATAAACTTTGGAAAAATCCAAATGTTTTGGGTGTTCTCTCGCGAAATTTCAACATGAGACGCTCAGGAAGTAAAGGGATTATCGAGACAGATTGTTACTGCAAGATCCGATTGCTCGACGACTCCGAAATAACATGCGAATTCAAGGTAAAAGTGCTGCAAAGTATAAATTCGTTACTGCATGTTGTAATCTTTCCGAGTGCATACTTTATGTGTATTATTGTTGGCGGGCGTTTCGGGGTGTTTATGTCTTGGAAAATGTCGATAAGAGGTCGAAACAGTATCGTAAATCACAGCAGCCTGCTTTGTGCAAAATGCTTGTGCTTCGATCGAAATAAACTTGGTATTTTGTAAAAATCACACAAGATCAAATTTAATGAATATGCTTCCCAACAGATTCATGATCGATCGCAAGTATTTCAATAATTTCATCGTCGATAAATATTAAATTCAGTGATCTGGAGCAATAAAAATACTAGATCTTGTTCTTAATATTTATTTCCTTATTCGATGTCAAAGAATGCCAAACATTTTTGACGTTTCGAGCGATGTAACTTTGTTTACTTTGATCAAGTAGGCTCGGGGATCAATCATAAATTTAGGGCTATTATTCACCAAAGTTTGTTCGTGGCAATGTTTTTTAATCAACCGTAAAAAATTTGCATCAGATCGTATATATTTAAAAATTGTTAAAACGCTAAAATGTATACCAAATTGCATTAAAAATTGTAAATTATTACAGTATTTTAAAACTTTCAGAAGTATAAACTCAAAACAACTAGCCTGCCATCATGTTTCATCGAGTGAGATTAGATATTAGTTAATTATAAATGAGATCGTGAAATCTCTGAGAAAAAATCAATAAAAACATGTAATAGTCCTAAAAATTATCTTAAATTTGCAGTAACACTCCCAATTTTTCTGATCCTTTCATATTTTGTAAAATGCTTAATATATTATAAAAAGGTGTTTCAGACCTAAGATCAGAAATTACAATTTAAAAGGACAGGATTTAATGTAGTAAAGGAAGTCAATTTTCCTCAGCAACAGCTATTGGTTTCAAAAGCTAATTTCATTAAGGGGGCGGCCTCCCTGCTGGTCTGTTTAGAATAACACAGACCCTAGCTAAATTTCACATTGTATTTCAGCTGTACATAGTGAGAAAGTCTTAAACAGGTCTTACTTTGATATTGTTAATTGTATAGACCCATAAGATGACATGGAAATATATTGTGACTTATACATGCATGCTGGATATATTGCAATGATCATGCATTGCTTATTGTCAAAAATACAAGAACTTTCTGCTTTTGTAGAATGCTGTCATTTAGGCTTCGTTTACATTCAGATATATGCATGACCGGGACGAAGTCAAACCCGACGGATGAAAATTGAAATTTTGTTAATTTTCAGTATGTTCACATGAGACCGGTTCAAAAATCGCAAATCTTTTATTTTATCCCCCTTGCCCACCATTTTGTTTCTTACAGCATACTTTTGTGAGCATGCATTGTTTTGCGAAGCCAAGGGCACAGCCGAGACCAGTTTGAAATGTATTTGTGTTCACATTCACCACTCGGAATTCTTCCTGATCTGAAGATAGTCCGTTCGGTCCAACAACCGGGATGGCTTCAGGCCTTTCTGAGGAATTTTTCGTAACTTCCCATCAGGGCTTTTCAGTGACCGATTACATCTAGTATTAACCATGATCGCTTATTTATATCAACTACATGCGTAAAAATTATGAGCCTGCAGTTTAACAGGATTGAACAATGTTGTGCTGCCCTGTGCTGCCCACGGCCCCACGTTGTTCACACTTGTCAACAATTTCGAACAATATTGCTGAGCCTGAATCAGGTGTAACAATATTGTTCAATATTGTTGACAACTGTGAACAATGTGGGCAGCACAACATTGTTCAATCCTGTTTTCATCAATATTGCAACAACCTGATCATTTTTAGCTGTGCACTTAGCCTAGAACACACTATTTAACTTTATAACAACTTACTGTGATATTAGTCGTCAGGAGAAAAACCACAACTTTTGGCAGAATGTTGACAGACTCTTTTCACATGAGTCCATAGCAAGAATCAAAACCCACAAAGTCAGTGCACGGTGAAAGGCGCTTGTTCAGTTGTTCTGGTGACTGTGCCATGACACAGTGATTGAATCCAATGAAAAATGCACAACTGGCTGCTGGTCGTGGTTGTTAATTTGCCGCGCTCTAAATTTTACAATATATTTGTATTTTAGAAAGATTCCAAGGGTCAAATTGTTTTTGACCAATCTTGCAAAGAACTTGATCTCTTAGAAAAGGACTACTTCGGCCTTCGATATGTTGATACTGACAAGCAAAGGGTTGGTTGCTTTTCAACTAGTAATTCTAATGTTAAGTTTAATTCAGTTTTAAAAAAAACATTGTTTTTCCCGTTTATAGATTACTGCTGTTTGCAAGCAACATTAGGCATGCGATTTTTTTCAGGTTTGTTTACGTTTCAAACGGCCCGGTTTTAACCGGAAAATGTTAACGTTTTGAGCAAGCCAATCAATGTTTGGAGGCATGTTCAAAGAAACTTTGCTAAGATTGTGGCAAACGTTGATTGGCTTGCTCAAAATATTAACGTTTTCCCGTTAATAATTATAACCTGACCGTTTGAAACGTAAACAAACCTGAAAAAAATCGCACGCCTATTGGTAGTTTGCAAACAGCAGTAACCGCCTCACCCTAATATATACTTTTAGCTGCAATATTTATATTTTAGCACTGGCTTGATCTAAACAAGAATCTAATCAAGCAAATGAAATGTAAGCATTTTCTATTCTATTTGCCATCTAAAGCCATTTTTCTATTAATTTAAAAATTATAGTCTGTATTGAAGTTGCCTTAGACTGGCCAAACGAATGGCCATCTTGTGTATGGTAAACACAATAGGGCCATTTATACGGGACAAAATAAGTCGCGTCTTACATAAGACGCGTCTTATATAAGCTGAGTTATCGCATAAATAGTTCTCTACAGATTTATTCTTATTTACTTGCTATAGCTATAATGTTGTTTCGGTTGTTTTTGTTCGAATAAGCAAGGCTAATAATTTTACGTTGTTTCAAGTTTCGGGCATGTGTAGTTAGAATTTTTGTCTAAAATTTCTTATTTAAGACGCGACTTAAATAAGAACAGCTAAAAGCCCTGTTCTTATGTAAGACGCGTCTTATCCAAGACGCGTCGTACATAAGAATTTTGTACCTTTTATACCACAAACTCGCGTCTTACTTAAGTCACGTCTTATGTAAGTCGCGTCTTATTTTGTTCCGTATAAATGGCCCTAATATGTCTTCCATTTTCGTTTCAGCAAAACCTCCTTATACTCTCTTTTTCCGAGTGAAATTTTATCCTCAAGATCCAGGGAAGATCGTTGAGGAAATAACGAGATATCATCTCTTTGTCCAAGTTAAACGAGACATACTTCATGGAAGGTAAATTTCACATTTTTTAGGATATTTGATAATATTATTAACCGATTAAGCGCCAGTGCTCTCCCCTTGACGAGTAAAATCGTCTGGCGTTAGACAGAGTAAAATAATAAAGTGGAGCGCATCAGGGTGCAATGCTACTCAATGGGTTAACAAGACACATGGTTAACAAGGCTGGTTAACCCATTAAATTAATAAGCGCCATCGCTCTCCCTTGATGAGTAAAATTGTCTGACGTTAGAGTAAAATAATAAAGTACCGGTAGGGCGCATCAGGGCGCAATGTGACTCAATGGGTTAATGGAACATCTAATGCCAAAGATTGAGGTTTTTCTTGCGTACATATTTGTTGTTTCATTTTTAGGTTACTATGTTCTTTTAATGATTTGGCTGACCTTGGTGGTTATATTGTTCAAGGTAATCCACCCTATTGGCTTCATTTACAGTATACTGCTGATACAACCTAACACAAGGTCTGAAATTTAAACTTTGTTTCACTACCTCACTGGGATTCAAAGTTCTAGCATCCCATATTCCCATCTGAGAATCTAGTATCCCACTTCTGCATGGATACTGGTTATCATACATTTTGCTACATATCCCTGAATCATCAAAGTAAGCATGCAGTACTGTACAGTCATGTCTCTCATTGGATTCAACAGTGAACAACTACAGTATATCACCAGATTGGGAAATCAAAGGCTGGTTATATTTTGAAGATCAGGCAGACTTACAGTATCTAAAGCTGTTGGCAGACCACCAGAAGAGACATTTAGCATTATCCTAATGTTTGAAATTTTGTAATAATGTCGGCAGTCTGGATACAAGTCATTCACAGTTTGGTATTCAAAATCAAGTTTTATTTTCCTTCGGATACTGCAAATTTCAGCCCCTGAACTATCACACAATATGATTTAATGATTTATAATAGCACTTTTGACAGTTCTGTGTCTTGCATTTTCTAGATGAACTTGGTGACTATGATCCTGAAGATCACAAGGAAGGATATTTGTCTGAGTTTAGAGTTGTACCGAAACAGGTACTATACACATAATTAATCCTGCTTCTCTTGAGATTATAGCACAAAAGAAATCATGAGTGTGAAGGATTTACATAAACTTTAAGTTCAGTTTTCTCACCAAATATCATTCATTTATTTAAAATTGTTGAAGAATACGAATGTTTTCATGAAGATGTTTCACAAGCCATTTGATGTTTCTTGTCTTTGGCTTGAGTTTGTACAGTATATCCAAGTTTGTACAGTAAAACTGTATACACATTTATGTGTAGTTTTGTCACCCTGAAATAACTGCCAATTTTGGCCAGAGTAGTACTCAGTGAAATTCTTCCATCCATAGACCCATTACACTGACGTCACAAATCCTTAGAGTGTCCTCCAGATGCTCCCTAACAATATCTGTTCGGGTACAACAACCACATACAGCGCGAAAATTAACCATTTTAATACAAAATTATTACAAAGTTTTACAAAATTTGCTTTGTTTACAAATTTAAATTATATTATGCATACTAGATTACTATTTGTCCTCCAGATGCATTGTCACCGGCGCTGTGACGTCATGTGCAAGGAGTCTATACAGTAATTGTATGTTTTCTAGAATGAAAAGCTTGAAGCCAAGATAGCAGAGAATCATAAGAACTTAAGGTATTAAATATATTGTGAATGGCGGATTCGGATTTATATCACAATTATACTGCTGTAGTGCTTGTAGGCCTGGATAACACATGCTCTCACTTTTCAAACCACGTCGAGAACGCCTTCTGTGGCATCAAATCAAATTGCCAATCTCCTAAAATAATCACGATATTTGGAATATTGGCATCGATAATTTCGAGAACTGGTTTGAAAAGCATTTTTGAAAGCATTCTTTACCCATCCAAGAACGCAATTTAATAGAACGCGCGCACGAATGTGTGTTAGCAGACAGTAGTTATGATCTAAATACACAACAAAATAACATTTTCTATTGGCTAGTGGCCTCACACCATCTGACTGTGAGAAAGAATTTCTCGAAAAAGTGAAACTCTTGGAAATGTATGGAGTGGATCCTCATCCATGCAAGGTATATACCTCTTAAACTCTAAAGTTAAAGATGCTGTAAAGTCCGTTCTGCGCATATATTCTGCGCATCAACACATTCCATCAGTGGGGGAGCAACAACACCGCGGAAAAACGTCTGCGCATGCACCAAATTATGAAAATATGGCGGGGAGTTTGAATATCAATTTCTAAAACAAAAACATGCTTATTAATTGGTCAAAATTAGTAAAACAAACGAGAAAATATAGCAAATGGGTAGACTAGACATTAATTGAAAGCGTCCTGGCATTTAAAGTATGGAATGAAATATAATTCATGTAAAAAATTGTTGAGTTTAACGGACACGACTTCGAAAATTTTTGCAAAATTATTCAAAACAAAAATTCAAACTAAAAAGTTAAGAAAACTCTCGAAAAGTTAAGCTTCTTAACCCACTCAAATTGTAGAATAAATCCTAAAGTTTAATTATTGTGAACACGAAAATTTTTATATTTGGCGACACAGTTTTTTTTAAAGAAATGTATCTCAAACAAAAATTCGGAAATTGTCATTGCTTAGTTGATAAACAAAATGTTTCAGACGATAAATTTGTCAACAATCACCTTTAGTTCATGTTCTTGTACAATACAATTTCTTGAACCTTCTGGCTGTATTTATTTCTAGTTTTTAGAATGACATGTTTATTTTTGCGCTCGAAATCTGGCTGTAAAGACGCACAATGAAGTCACTCCTTTTTACCGCCATTTTGGGCCTTCGGAAACGTTCGGAACAGCTTCTCATCAAGTTCGCAATACTATTACAGGTAAGGTTGACGCATGCGCAGACGTTTTTCCGCGGTGTTGGGAGCAACCTTTGGAATGTTGTTAATATTTCGCACCTTCCGAACTTTCTTGAATTGAATCTCTAGTCTGCATTTACAAGCATAGCGAACCGGAAGAGTGTTAAAAATTCAGTATAATATATATCTAATCATATTTTACAATTGTAGCACTGAGTTCAAAATGTAAACAAAGCGTTTGTTTACATTACGGACTTTACATCACCTTTAAATGTCGAGAAACAAGGGAAAATGTTAAAAATCGTATTTGTCAATGTATGTGTTTGTCTATCAGCATGATAAC